TGGAGTAATTTTCACTGTAAGGTATCTGTACTTTTACTCAAGTATGGTTTTTAGGTACTCTTTACACCTCTGCATAAATGCGATAGGATTACTGTAATATTGTGAGATCGTAGTGACTGTGAGTTGTGGTGGGCCTATTTGGGAGAAAATCTAGGGCTGTTTTTTACTCCCAGTCCGCCCCGTCCTTCTAGCCACAACCTGATTAGCATGCTGCTGCTGTGAGTGTAACCGCAGGCCAGAGTCTGGAGCGATGCCATGCTCTGTCTGGGTCAGTGAGGCTCTGTTCATTCATGAAATGCAGTGTTTGAGGTGCATTAATGTAGAACATGTGTGACGACCTCAAACGCACCTCATTCAATCATAGTTTAGTCTGAATGATCAGGTTTAAATGCTTAGTCAGCAGACAGAGAGTAATTTTGGAATCATTCCGTAGTAATCTACCATTAAGATGACAGAAGGAAAGTGCTTCTGCAGGATCTTTGTCTGTCTGTAGTCGCGCACACATCAGATACGGGTGATGGTTTTGGCATTGACTCAGCAGTTTTAATTTGTTTTCGCAGTTAACAGGCTGTTAAACAAGTCTCAGATTAAACGCTGGATCTGCTGCAGTTTATGAGCTTCGTGACTTTAGGTTTTGAGAGTTTTGCAAAAACTGAATGATCACGGTCACATGATGAACATGAATTACTTGAATAATAATTATTATTGATAATATACACACACACACACACACACACACACACACACCTTAAGCAGCAAATTAGCATATTATAGTGATTTCTGAAGATCATGTGACACTGAAGACTGGAGGAATGATGCTGAAAATACAGCTTTGATCACAGGAATAAATTATATTTTAACAGATATTCACATAGAATACAGCTGTTTGAAATGGCAATATTATTATACAATTTTTGTGTTTTTACTGTATTTTTACTTAGTTTTGTCTATTTTTTTAAATATTTAAAAATTCTTAAATTTAAGCCATTTTCTGTCCTTTCAGAAGAGTGAAGCTTTCAGGGACAATCACCCGCCTGTTAATGGCTATAGTTTAAAAAAAATAAAATCTTCATCAAGCATATTTGAGTTTCCACAGGAATCTGAATGGTGAAACTCTTCATTGTTTCCTGTGGATTGGGATGCAGGAATGAGCGACTGTGTCTGCTGGCGTTTAAAGCTCCATGGCGTTTAGTGCTGCATTAATCAGACTGTAGTGACAGCGATTCACACACAGATACGAGCCGCTGTCAGAGAAACAAACCACATCTGGATGAGAACCCACCGTACAGAGACACCTGAGGAAAAATCATTCCCAGATGCCCAGAGCTCCGCTTTAATGTGTTTACACACGCAACACCTGTCTGAAAACACTCACACACACACACAATCACTCACTCACTCACACACACACACACTCTCACACACACACACACACACACACACTCTCTCTCACACACACACACACACACACACACTCACGCTCACACACGCACACACACACACACACACACACTCTCTCTCACACACACACACACACACACACACTCACGCTCACACACGCACACACACACACACACACACACTCTCTCTCACACACACACACACACACACACACTCACGCTCACACACGCACACACACACACACACACACACTCTCTCTCACACACACACACACACACACACACTCACGCTCACACACGCACACACACACACACACACACACTCTCTCTCACACACACACACACACACACACACTCACGCTCACACACGCACACACACACACACACACACACTCTCTCTCACACACACACACACACACACACACTCACGCTCACACACGCACACACACACACACACACTCACTCACTCACTCACACACACACACTCACACACACACTCACTCACACACACACACACTCACACACACACACACTCTCACACACACACACACACTTACTCACACACACACTCTCACACACGCACACACACTCGCGCACACACACACTCACACTCACACACACACACACACAGAGACACACTCACTCACTCACACACACACTCA